GTTGGCACTTTCTCAGACAATTAGGAATAGGTCTACCTCAAGATCCAGCTATACCACTCCTATGCATATAACCAAAATATGCTCATACACAACAAGGCCATTCGCTCAACCATATTCATAGCAGTTTTTTAGTAATAGCCAGAATCTGGAAACAACCCAGATGTCTCTCAAAGGAGGAATGGATCCAGAAATTGTGGTACATTTACAAAACGGAATACTACTCAGCAATTAAAAACAGGAAATCATGAAATTTGCAGGCAAATGGTGGAATCTAGAAAAGATCATCCTGAGTGAGGTATCCCAGATGCAGAAAGACACACATGGTATATATTCACTTATAAGTTATATAAGTATATATTCACTTATTAGTTATATAATATAGGATAAACATACTAAAATCTGTACACCTAAAGAAGTTAAGCAAGAAGGAGGACCCTGGGTAAGATGATCAGTCCTCATTCAGAAAGGCAAAGAAGATGGACATCAGAAGAAGGAGAAAACAGGGGACAGGACAGGAGCCTACCAAATAGGGCCTCTGAAAGACTCTACCCAGCAGGGTATCAAAACAGATGTTGAGACTCATAGCCAAACTTTGAGCAGAGTGCAGGGAATCTAATGAAAGAACAGGGAGATAGAAAGGCCTGGAGGGGACAGGAGCTCCACAAGGAGAGAAACAGAACCAAAAAATCTGGGCCCAGGGGTCTTTTCTGAGATTGATACAACCAAGGACCATGCATGGAGATAACCTAGAACCCCAGCACAGATGTAGCCCAGGGAAGCTCAGTGTCCAAGTGGGTGTCCTAGTAAGGGGAACAGGGTCTGTCTCTGACATGAACTCAGTGGCTGGCTCTTTGATCACCTCCCCCTGAGAGGGGAGCAGCCTTACCAGACCACAAAGGAAGACAATGCAGCCAGTCCTGATGAGACCTGATAGGCTAGGGTCAGAGGGAAGGGAAGGAGGACCTCCCCTATCAGTGAACTTGGGGAGGGGCATGGGAGGAGATGAGGGAAGGTGGGATTGGGAGGGGATGAGAGAGGGGGCTACAGCTGGGATACAAAGTGAATTAATAAAAAAATACAAAGTATAATTAATAAAAAATATAAGTAAATTTTTAAAAGAAAAAAAAAGAAATAGCCAGATGTAACATATATTAGAAGTTTGGTGTTATGGTGAAATGGTGTTGTTTCATAAAAATAGTCATGGTTTCTTTGACATTCACCTAATGAACAACATTAAAATTGCTTTTAGTTGTCATTGATTGAAAAAAAAATTACCAAGAAACAATACAAGGAACAATCATTTTTAGGACTTTGCCTAACCTTTTTTTCCTTTAAAGTAAATACTGAGGGGTAAAACTGGTAGAATCTGTGGAAACCTGAGGTTGCTTTTTTGATAATATATAATCAAATTACTTCTCAAGGTGTCTACTATTTTATAAACCCATCAGAAATGTGTGAATGAGCCAATTTTTTTTCTCCTTTCTCAGCAGCTGGTACTACCAGTACTTTTGAAACTGTTCACTTTCTTTTGTGTAAGTTTGTACAGTGGTACCCTGAGATTTTTAGTTGTCGTTCCTAATGGCTGATATTGAATACTCCCTTTCAGATGCTTATGTACTAGCTTTGGGGATAAATATCTACTCAAGTCCTTTAGCTACTTACTAAATTTGGACTGTTGATTTGATTATGACTAATTTTTGAGATTTTCCATGTATTATTGAAATATAAATATATCAACAGTCTCTGTTGCATGTGTAATCTAGTAAGTTTTTCTACCAACATAATTTGTCTTTGCGTCATCTTGAAGGTACTTTAGGCAAAACAAAAATTTTTAACTTTGGAAAATAACGTTATTGTTTTGTTTTATGGATCATCCTGTTGGTGTTCATAAAACATAACCTCAAACCACAATATTACAATCCTTATTAAAATGAAATAGTATTTTCACATTCATAATTCTGGACTGTCTATTTTTATTGTTGATCAATGTATCTATGTCTTTGCTTACACCACACCATGCTATACTTTTGCATATTTAGAACAGATAGTGATCCTCCAACAATGGTGTTTTTTTTTTTTAATCGCCTGTTCTATGTCCTTTGCCCTTCCATTTTAAAGATAACTTGTTTATAAAACTCAAGGTAGGCTTTGGTTTGGATTAATTTTTTTCTGAATCTAAAACTCAAGGTCATTCCTAGAATTTTAAACTTATGTTGGACTTTTCTCTTATTTATGGATTAATACTATCAATAAAATAACAACAAAATAAACATGTTTTCGGAAATGCAGTGTAATACACTTAAATATGTGTGATGATTTTGTTCTTTGAGAAACTCATACTCTACCCAACAAAACAAGGCCTTGTTACCACATTCTAGATTAAAATTGCTATGGGGGTTTAAGGAAAGAAAAAATCTATTCTGTATTCCATTCTCTGAACACTGGAAATTCCTTCATATTGTCCTCTAGTCACGCTAAAGTGTTGTTGTTGTTGTTGTTGTTGTTGTTGTTGTTTTAACTACTGTCTTCTGAAACTAATGCTTAAAAATTAAATGAAATAAAGGATAGAAAAGATAATTCTACCTATAGCTCCCATTTTTTCCATCGTTCTCATGCCAGATAGTCATGGTTCAGAATGCTTTCTTCCTGGGTAGTCTGTGGCAAAAAATTTAAAAAAAAATCTTCAGAAATTCTGTATTCATTATGCACATTTTCCCCAGGTATTTAAGATTCCCAAAATTTTACCAAATTGTATTCCACATAAAGGAAGAAGAATATTCATAACACAAACTTTTCCTTCCTTGTTTTTAAACTCTCTCCTAAGGTTTTTTTTTTTCTCCTGATGTTGCTAGGACTGTTATAATTTCATTTTTTTTTCTTTATGGTATCATAATGGCTTTCTGTAGTTCCTCCTTTCAGGAACCACTTACTTCTTAAGAGCCACTGCATTTGCGAAACCATCAAAGAAGCAATTGGAGCCATATAAGGAAATCAGGCTGCTGTGGTTGCAGACTTCATGGGAGTTATCGTATCAGGAACTGCTTTTGTAACAATTGCCACACCTTGAAAATTCCATGAATTTGTCTTTTAAATTACTACTCTCTGTGATCAAAATTATATTTAAATGTCCATGTCAGAATATTTTGAAATCAGAGATGAGTTTTTATAAAAAAATTACAGGAGAATCTTGAAAACTAGGGTTTCTTCAAGAAGATGAGAATGAAGTGTTGTAGAATCCACTTACATCCATCATAAGTCAAACATCAGGTCAGCGCAGATGACAAAAATGTATTGTAATCAAGCCACTACTAATCAATCAGGGCCACAGAGCAGACTTGGGGCTGAACTGCACCCCTGAAAGGATGCTGTGCAGCATATTTAAAGGATGAAATCATAGAGTGGGGGGAGTGGGTTGGGCTGTAGCACTGTCTAATCATACTTTGACATAAGGGGTTGAGCAAGGGAGTTTCCATCAGTCAGGATAGGAGTAGGTTCGGTTCCTGGGCCTGGGAGCATGAACTTAGTTTGACCTTGCCAGCAAGATGGAGGAGTTGTCCCTGAGATGTCTGTACTCTGACCACTGTTTCCTTACAACAGAAGCTGTTCAGCTATTTGGAAGTCCCCAGCTTCCCTAGGGCCTGGTCCTTGAACTTAGTTCCTCCCTGTGACTAAATGGAGTATGAAAACAAAATGTTAGTACTTAGAATAAGTTTCTTTTGCTTGTTCCAAGCACGGTGGTCAATTTATTTTGTTGCTTTTGAAACATGTCATTGATTCTCGTGTCGAAATATAACCTTAGAAGAACTGTCTAATAATAAATCCCTAGATGAAAATTGGACACTTGCTTTCAGGTTAAGAGAAGAAGAACATGTACTACTTGACACATGTAATGCATGAGACAACTTACTATGTGCAGTAGAACGTAGTTGTCACTGGGTTCTAAGCAGGTTGTGTAATAAATGAAGTAGCTGGTGGAGTGACTCCCTTTATTATAGAGATGTTGAATTATTGACAGTTATTGAGTCTTTTAAAAACTCACTTATTAGACAATTATAGGAAACATTAAGGGAGGTCAAACCCAAATCATTTCTACCTTTTCTACCTCATGCTAGTGACTTCTGGCATGGTTCAGAATCAATATCCTAAGTACCCCTCATCATGGAGTCCTTCTTAGTCACATTTGTCCTAACTCCCATTGAGTTAAGAGTGTCCCTACACAGTGCTTCAAAAGAAGTCACACTCAAAATACATTGTCAACCTGGAAATGCCTCTGTTACAATTCTTCCCAGGGCACACCAGCACAAAAATCTCCCATCCCGGCATGCTCTTCAGTATGTTCACTATTTCTACAGTTCAAATGGCATTTCTGCTGCCTTCCTGAGAAGCAACTTGCACATGAATGTGGTTATTTGTAACACTGGATGGACCATGAATGCATTTTCTCCTCTACAGTCTCTGCAGATTGAGCTACAATCACGCAGTTGGTAACATTTTTGTCAAGTCTCTGTTGAAATGTGTTTCTTTCCATTTACTTTATTGCAATGCTCATTAGAAACTCGCTTTTTTCTTTATACTGTTAAAAAGTAAAAAATATGGTGTTTGTTACAATGTGATGAAATTTTTTTAAGCAGCATTGAACTTGGTATTTTGTGCATTCTGTCCTTGACTTTATCTTGACATTCAGGCCTCGTAATTCTCAGTTACTTCTGTTGTTATATTTTTTTGTTTTGTTTTATTATGTGATGTATTTTTTGTGCCCTATGAGATGCATGGCAGAACACTATGTTAAAGATGTCACATAGCCATTTTTTAACTATTTATTTGTTCGTTGGGTGCATGCACCCCAATCTTATCTCCTCCTCCCCTCGCACCCTTCCTCCACTCTTGCAGCCTTCCCCACAGCAGAGAAAAACATTTTCGTTGTGGAAGTTGTAGTGTGTCACAGTGTGCCCCACGGTATACTGGACTGGTGGTCTTCTCAGGCCTGCTTTTTTTCATCGAATGTTGGGCTACTAATCATTCAGATGTCCACAGATCAGAACACTGGGAGTAAGCAAACCTAAGGTGTCTCCTCCCTGCCAGCTACTGACTCACATGTGACAGAACAGCTGCACTGCGACACCTCCAAGGGCAGGTCACACAGCCATTTTATCAATTCCTTGTAGAAAGTAAAAATGAATGTTGGACTATACAATGTTTACTCTTAACCCTATAATTATTGTGGAGGTATTATTTGACCAGCTACGACAAATACTAAGACACAGATACCCGTTAGATTTTACAATTGCCTTATTACCTTGGGCTGGGCAGATATTTCTACCTACACTGTCTCAATTACCTCACAATTCATCTCCCAGTCCCCAGCCAATGCCATCCTCCTTAATCACCCCTATCTGGTCTACCTTCCATCCATAATCCCAATATACTTGCTTATATTCTTCATCTTGGTGTTTTCTCCATCCATACCATCCTTGGAGTCCTTCCTCCCAGCCAATCCGTCGTGGCATTCCTCCTGCCTCCTCTCTTCCCATCTATCTCTTTTTTCCATGATTCTCTTGAACTCCGGAGCCCAGGAATCTTAACCATGTATATCCCATTCTGCCCTGCCCAGGTATAGGTCTTTAATCAACCAATCAGGTAAAATGTCTTAGGCAGGTTTACAAAACAAGGACAGGTATAACCAGTTCTTGAGGGCTAGCAAGCAACATCAAAATAAATGATCAGAACAACCCCCAACAATTACTTGAAAACCCTAATCAAGTAGTCTATAATGTTCCCACATTTAGGTTGATATTTAACATAACAAAATTGTTGTTTCAACAACCTAAAAAGACACCACAATTTTATTTTTATGCAGATAAAGTTTCTGAAACACAAAACTCAAGTATTTTCATTGAAAGTGGGTATCAGGAAGAAATTTGAAGATTCACTGATGACAGTGTGTTAAGAGAAGGAAAAATAAGTGAAAGGTGAATGAATGCATTGCTCGTAATGGGTTTTAGCATAAAATTGGTGTAATTTCATTAATTTTCAAGGCTTAGCTCTTATATTCTCTATTAGTTACATGATAATAACAGTAATTTTATCTAACAGGTGAGAATCTTAAGGCCAGCATGAAATGCAGTAGAGATTCCTCTTCCGTTGCTCCCCTACTTTCCCCTCAGCATAAAAGGGATTGATAAATCCTCTGAGGGCACACTGCAAAACCCTGATGAAACTGAGGAAACTTGGTTGTGATGGCAACTAATTAATTTTCTGTGTCGTTTGTCCTTGAATGCAAGTGCCACACTATGCCACCACTGGACTTGCCTCTAGTTGGTGTCTGGAGATCTGCTCACAAACTAAAGAAACAGGAACAAAGGATATGAATCAAATGTGACATTTCAGACAATCCGCTAAATTTCTAGAGCCCCCGTGAAGACAAAATCTCTAAAAGAGGATTACCTATTCTTTATCTCCCACACTGTAATTTCTCACAGTTTCTAACAAATTTAGTGATTTGGGACAGGGAGATTTTCAAAGCAGTTAAGAGTTTAGTAATAAGAATGTTGGTCTAATTTTTATATAGAAAACAGTGACCTCCTCCACATCTAAACGTTTTCATTATTTATTGGCTTCTCAAGCACAACTAAACGCATGACTCATAATCCAAAAGAGGCCTTAGTACAGGTGGCATCATGTGATGGCTTTGATGGAGGATGATGAATCTGGCTACATAAAGTGTGTCAGTCAATGAATCTGCAGATGGAATGACTGGAATCGAGTGAGTCATCAAGTGTGACTTCTAGGTCCGATGAGCAATCTCAATTCCCAGTTGTATTATCCTGACTTCCTTCCAAATAGCTGTATTTCAATAATGAAACAGAATCATACACTTTTAGAGTCATTGGGAAGCCTCAGACATCTTTTAACCCTCTTCTTTAAAATCAATATAATAATAAAAATGTCCTACCTAGTAAGCATCTTGGTTCAAGGTCATACAACATGGTAGTGACTTTTCCTTAGAAGAAACAATACTACACTATTTTAACCAATTCAAAGTCTAATTTTACAGTTTCCGTATTAGGCGGATGAGGTTCATGTCTCTATCTCTGACACTGGCTCTCTGAACCCCTTTCTGACATATAGGACCTCACCTATGCTACAAAAGTCCTGAGACTGAGCTATAGCCCTATCCTCCATTTCTGTTTTAGAGATAAATATACAAGACAGTAGAAACAGCTCTAAGTTATATTAGTATATTTACTATGCCAAAAAAGGCTGGAAAACTCAAGTTAATTTTTGTCATTTTCCAAGATATTTACATTCACTTTTTAAATTTTTTGAAATTGTGGTATAATTACAACTTTTCTCCCTTCCTTCTCCAAACCCTCGTATATACTCTTTCCTGTTCTTCTTCAAATTTGTGACCTCTTTTTTCACTAAGTGTTATTGCATGCATATATACATATAAATATTTGCATGTATATATATTGTTATATAATATATGTATATTCCAAATGGAAATTGTTCAGTCCATATGAAGTTACTTGTATGTATGCTTTTAAAGCTGAGTTTTTAAAACTGGTCAGGCAGTTGGTGTGGTCTTCCATGCAGAAGACATTTTCTACTCCCAGATTTCCTCAGTTGCCCATACTTCATTGTGTAGGGTTCAGGCCTTCTGGGCTTTTCCTCATCCACTTTGGCATGTCCATTGGTGTCATCTTTGTTCAGTTCATTTTTGTGTAGCTTCTGATACTGCTAGAAGACAGTCTCACAGCAAACTCCCTGATCCTCTGCTTCTTACAATCTTTCCGCTACCTCCTCCACAGTGTTCCCTAAACCTTAGGAGTAGGAGTGCTTTGTTTATGTGTCCATTGGAACTCGTCTTGACAACTTCCATTCTAATTGGTTGAGGCTTTTTGTATAGTCTCTGTTTATTGAAAAAAGTAAAAAAGGGTTCTTTGGTGAGGAATGAAGACTACACTTATCTCTGAGTATAATGACAAAATATTTACAGACTATTTTTAGGAGTTATGAGAGTTTAATAGATTAGTAGTTGTAGATTCTCCTCCAATTACCATGGCAACACTATCACTGAGTACTTAGCTAGGTTTCCAGTAGCAGGTTTAGTTTCCCTCTTGTTGATCAGGTCTTAGGTACAATTTGAGAGCTGTCGTGGTATGCATGCCACTACCCATAGGATTATCGTATCATGATAGTCATTGATGTGCTTCATAGGCATCATAACAGGGTAAGCGTGTTTGTTACCCCCTTCCTATGGAAGCTTGCATGGTACCTTCTTTTACCATGAAAGTAAGTCCTCAGGGACAAGGTATTGAGGACATTTCCAGATTGTGGCTTCTGGGACTTGCTTTTGAAGTGAATGGTGTCATGATCAATAGAAACTTACATTCCATCTCTGGGAATTAACCAAAAGCAACAGAAATTGGCTGTGTGATTTGGGAGTCTCTTGGGCAACCCTAATGACTCTAAATATGGCTTCTCATGTCTGGTGTTGGTGGTTTTGTTAGATTGTTTTCAGATTTTAGAGAGAACACTATCAGCCTAGATGAGAATATATGTGTGTGTGTGTGTGTGTGTGTGTGTGTGTGTGTGCGCGCGCGCATGTATATGTATATATACATACATATAGTATATAATAGAGAGAGCCATGTGCATTATAGGCTTTTCTTTAGTTAAATAGTTATATATACTAATATGATTCCTGTGGCTTTTTTCAAACATTCTTACTGTTAGTTTATCTACTTTTGATGACAATATAATTCAAAATATTAGAAAACATCTATAATTAGTGTTTATGATTATGGAAGAAATAATAAGACTTATTTCTGATGTGATAAAAGTCAACTGGGGTAGCAAGGAGTCCTTCATGATTTTGCATTAATAGCTGTCTTGATTCTCATCTAAAAGTAAAATACTTCTGTCCATAAATATTCTTCTCATTGTTCCTCTGCGTGCGTTGATATTTATGGATCAGTATGTAATTTACTATCTGTATGTTTAATCATAATCAGCCAGGATGCTGTTTGACTGGACCTATAAAATGTGCTCTAATGATTTTTAAATGTTTAATAATCACTGCACTTGTGCATAGAAATCAGAGGCTTGTATTTAATTATTGATAGTAATTAGTAGACAGAAGCAGACAAACACCATCTGGTGGAAGAAATGATTATCTATCTGGTTATCTATCTGTCCTTTCAGCCATGGTGCTGATGTCATGCGTCATTGGTTGGGTTCTTGCAGATTGAAAAAATATATATATATTTCCTTGTATACCCCCAGCTAGTGGAACTCCAATTTCTTTCATCCCCGTAGTGGGATGAAAGTAGCCACTATTCTCTCAAGTAATGCACAAATTTAGGGTGACTCTTTCTTCTTCGGTTAACCAGGTGTTTCATGGTGATTCTATATCTTATCAAGCTGACAATTAACATTAAACATTGCAACACTATACCTTATAGCTTGGCATCCAAACACAACCTTTCAAACAAAAACATTCTGCATTTGGCCCCTAAAGTCTCACTTTCACCTCATAATGCAAGTGCATTTAGTCCATTTCTCAAAATCCCCAGTCTTTAAACATTCCCTGATTGTCTAAAACTCAACATTCAAAGTCTCTCCTTTGTGAGTTCTTACATAATAAAAATGTTTAAGCAGCTACACATTTCCAATATTCGCTGGCGTGAAATTAATATTATCATTCTAAATGGAGGACTGAAAAGATAGCAAGCAAAGCTTGGACTGAACTAAGTCTGAAGCCTAGCAAGCAAAACATTAAATCCTAAAGTTCTATTTTTAACATCTGGAGCTCAGGATGCATGCATCTGCACTTCAAATAGCTTGAACAACCTTACCTCCTCCAGCTCTGCTGCCTCTAACTGAACTATGCTCTCTTAGGCCAGTTCTACGACATTTCTCCAGATTTTCAGAGCTGACATCTCACAGTCTTGTTACCTCCAGCATCTTGGGGTTACCACTGCAATTTAGGACTGAACTTCACAGCTTCACATAATGGTTTCTTAGAGCCTCTGTGTAGGAACCTGATCCTGTTGCTCATTGCCAAACCACATGGCTCTCTCAAACTTGGGATAAATTTCCATGACTCTGTCCCTCTGGCATTTTTCATGCT